CACTGATTTTGCTTGTCAGAAGGTTGCAAAAGAGAATCACATGATTCCAGGACACTGCAACCATCATAAATATGAACCAGTTGCCAAGCATCTGAATTTTGATCACGTGATCATGGGGATGCTGAAAAGGCCATACAGTAATTTTGAAAAACGGTCATAAGTCACATTTTTCAGTGCCGTTGTAACTTTGAACAGTCACTAAACAAACTGTTGTAAGTCAAGGACTACCTGTACTATATAGCTGTATGGCTTCAAAAACGTTTAAAATAACATTGCCTTACATAACTTGTTTAATTGTCTGGAAACCATGCCTGCTGAATTGGACTAGCAAGACACATCAGCAAATTTCAGTGACAAATCGTACCATCAAACTTTGATGCAAAATAGAACGAAGCTCTGGGAAGTTTAATGTTTCTTTCGTTCTGTAAAGGTAAAAGTTCCCCTCGCAAATATGTGCTAGTCGTTCCCAACTCTAGGGGGCGGTGCCGAAGAGCCAGCGCTGTCCAAAGACGACTCATGCCCTCGTCACTTCCCGCCTGGACTACTGTAATGCTCTCTACATGGGACTCCCCTTGAGGAGAACCCGGAGGCTCCAACAGGTCTAGAATGCAGCCACGCAGGTGGTTATGGGAGCGACGTGGCGTTCCCATGTAACACCTCTCCTGCGCGAGCTGCACTGGCTCCTGGTGGTCTTCCGGGTGCGCTTCAAGGTTTTGGTTACCATCTTTAGAGCGCTCCATGGCTTAGGATCTGGGTACTTACGAGACCGCCTTCTGCCACCAGTAGCCTCTCACCGGCCAGTAGGCTCCCAGGGTGCTGTCGGCCAAACAGTGTCGACTGGCGGCCCCCAGGGGGAGAGCCTTCTCTGTGGGGGCACCTGCCATTTGGAACGAGCTCCCCCGGAGATACAGAGGATCCCGGATTTACGCACTTTCCGCCATGCCCTCAAGACCTTTTTATTTCAACAGGCTGGCCTGGCCTAACTTTGTCTTAATTGTTAATTTTAAATTTGTTTTAAAACAATAGGGGTGTTTTAATCTGTATGGGCCAAATTATTTAATGTGTTTTTTTATGGTTTTTTAAATTTTGTATTATGTGTGTTTTATCTTTTGGCTGTTCACCGCCCTGAGTCCTCCGGGAGTAGGGCGGTATATAAATCCAAAAATAAAATAAAATAAAAAATAAATGTGGTCATGTGGCTGGCATGACTAAACGCCAAAGGCGCATGGAAAGCTGTTACCTTCCCACCAAAGGTGGTCCCTATTTTTTTTTTGCATATTTTGCGTGCTTTCGAACTGCTAGGTTGGCACAAGTAACGGGATTACTGCTAGGTTGGCACTAGGGATTTGAACCACTGAACTGCCAACCTTTTGATCGACAAGCTCAACGTCTTAGCCACTGAGCCACCATGTCCCTTGTTCTGTACTAAGGGTAAATGAAATAATGGAAGACAAATTCCTGGCAGATCCGGGCTTTATTCTACCTTGGCATATTTCCGGGTTTTTATTTTGTTTTTGCTTCTTTCTATAATATCAGCGCCCCCTCCCCCTTTTTTTTTCTGCGGATGGTGATCTTTATTAAAGACCTGGTTTTAGCAGACAGAATGACTGAGTTGGGGACCTTAGTCCAAAACCAAAATGCAAAGTCATAAAATACAGAAACAAAATGAACATGGGGGAACTTATTGTTCTGTAAGATGCAAAGTAGAGTGACTGAGATGAGTCACTTGAAAAAGTGAGTTTTTAAAAGACGCCTAAGATTCTGCAAGTTGGGGTGAGCATTCTACACTCCAGGAGCTACAGTGGAGAAAGCAACTCTGCCAAGCAACTATCCTTAAACAAGAGAGCTTAGACTCCCTAAAGGCCTTGGGCATCTGGGAGATTGACAAAATTGAAGACAGAATAATTGCTAGCAAGTGATAACATCAGTTAACATCCCAAGGTTGTTACTCAATAACTAGAATCCAGTATTCCATTTAACCTCTGGCTCTTTCCACACTCCACTACTGTGATTTACTTACTTATAAATCAAATCTATAAACTTCTCAATTACTCTGAACAACTTACAGATTACACCCTATACAGTACAATAAAACACACAAATGAAGGCAATATACTTGGAGCTGTGGTGGTGCAATCGTTAGAATGCAGTATTTCAAGCTAACTCTGCCCACAGCCAGGAATGTGATCCTGACCGACAGAAGATGGACTCAGCCTTCCATCCTTAGTGGTCAGTAATATGAGGAGCCGGATTATTGTGACAATATGCTGACGTTGTAAACCACTCAGACTGCTGTAAAGCACTGTGGAGTGGTATATACTGTAAGTCTAAGTGCAATTGCTATACTTAGATAGAAAAATACCAATATTCCACAACAGAATAACACAATCACATTCATGGAACAGGGACACGGTGGCTCAGTGGCTAAGACACTGAGCTTGTCGATTGGAAGGTCGGCAGTTCAGCGGTTCAAATCCCTAGTGCCGTTTAACGGGGTGAGCTCCCGTTACTTGTCCCAGTTTCTGCCAACCTAGCCGTTCGAAAGCACGTAAAAAATGCAAGTAGAAAAATAGGGATGGGAAGGTAACAGCGTTCCGTGCACCTTTGGCATTTAGTCATGCCAGCCACATGACCATGGATATGTCTATGGACAGCGCTGGCTCTTCGGCTTTGAAAAGGAGATGAGCACCGTGCCCTAGAGTCGGGAACGACTAGCACATATGTGCGAGGGGAACCTTTACCTTTACCTATTCATGGAACACATATTATTCCACCTAAGGCAAAGCCTGGGGGGTTGGGGGCAAGCCAGGTCTCAAGATCCATTTAATGGGCAATAAGGTTGGCATTATTAGAGCAGCTAATACAACAGAGAAAGCATTTCTCCTGGAAATCAGATGGCACTCTTTAAAAGTGGGAACTAGGGTATGCTCACTCTTGTGTGATCTTACTACAGGTAATCCTCGACTTACGACCACAATTTCCATTGACTTTATTTTTTATTTATTTTTTTATTTTATTCAATTTGTATACCGCCCTTCTCCTAGTGGACTCAGGGCGGTGCACAGCCAGAACTAAAACACATACCAATACAAAATTTAAAAATTTTAAAATAATTACATGACTTTGGCCCAAAATTTAAAACATTCAAACTAAAACCCATTGACAATTTAAAAAGCTAAAAAAAGGGGGGGGGAGGGGTTCACTCCAGCCCTGCTTGATGGAAAAGAAAAGTTTTCAGGGCACGACGAAAGACCCGGAGATCTGATATCCTTCTTATCTCCGGGGGCAAATCGTTCCAGAGGGCAGGAGTTGCCACAGAGAAGGCCCTCCCCCTGGGGGTCACCAGCTGACATTGCCTGGCTGACGGCACCCTGAGGAGTCCCTCTCTGTGGGAGCTTACTGGTTGGTGGGAGGCTATCGGCGGCAGAAGGCGGTCCCTTCTTGCACTTGTTTTTTATGACCTTTCTGCTTTGCTGGCTGAGGAATTCTGGGAATTGAAGTCCACAAGTCTTAAAGTTGCCAAGGTTGGAGACCTCTGCTCAATAGCAATACTGACTGCAACCAGCCATGGAAAAAGGTGAAGCATCATCACAGCCCCATCCCTCCCATTCCTAGAAGCTATAATCAGTCCAGAGGGATGTCATGATTGATAGTTGCAATTGCTGAGTGGTTGCTAAGAGATCAACAAGAACTAGGACACTTGTACCACCTTCATTTTGGTTCCACCAGTGGTCATCGACAACCATGTTTAAAGATGGTCTCTTTGTCTGTATAAGCAAAGATGGATACCAAGTAAGAAGGAAGGATAAGAATTTTCCAGATTCTATTTTTTTTTCAACTTTTCAAAATGGGGTGTCAGAAAACTATTTTAACGATTTAGGCTCATTTTGAGATTTAAAATATCAATACAATGCTAACAACAGCAAAACCAGCAGTGCAAATTCCTACTGCTTTGTCACTTTTCTGGAAGTTCCATTGTTTTTGGCTGCAAAAAAGCAGCTGTCTACCTCTTGCAACCCATAGATCCCCTGTTCTTGTTGTACAGAATGGATGGTTTTTCTTGCAGAAAATGACTGGACCAACGCTCCTAGGAAGAGGTTTCTGACATTGCAGTAATAATATCTAAAGGAAGTCACAGCATGGATGCATCTTAAATTATGCTTCTCTGTGGGCTCCTTGAAATAAAAAGTCATAAAAATCAATACCTATAGATTTCAGGTACCTTTTTGCCCCACTACATTGCTGTATTCATCTACAAATACGCACAAACTATGCTGATGGCACAGCTTTCGTTGTGAAAAATTATATTAAGGGGAGCCATATGACATGGGACAGCTGCTATATACCTCGTTTTAAGGACTTATGTGATCCATCTCAACTGTCATCTGGATCCTCCTTTGTGAACTAGGAAATCATATAAATAATATAGAACCACCAAATAGAATTATAGGAGCGACGCGGTGGCCTAGAGGTGAAGACACGCGCCCCTTACTCAAAAAGTTGAGAGTTCAATCTTAGGCAATGACGGATGTTTCTCTGTCAGAGCATAAAGAGAAAATATCTGCTGTGAACTTTGCGTAGGCATCAGGAAGGGCATCCGGATAGTAAATGCTCAGCTCCATTTAGTAACCTCAACTTCACCCCAATAAAAGGGATTATAGGATTTCAGGGGGGAAAAAACCCAGAAAAGAACTATAGAATCAAAAAGTTAGAAGATCTTTGGATCCAACATTCTGCTTAGTGGTAGGATTCCAAAGAAAAGAACCTTTAATCCTGACTTTGTTTAAACAGAGCCAGGCAGGAAGGAGGCATCATCTCACTAGGATTTTGATTCCACAATTGGGCTTCTACTGACACCATATTTGAAAAATGTTGTCATAGACCCCTCTGCCTTTTCTTCTCAAGGTTAAAATTCCCACCTCTTCAATTTGTTTTTATAGAACAGGATTTCTAGTTTCCTGATTTATCTGTGTCGCTTTCCCATGAACTTTATTTTCCAGTTTCTCTGCATCTTTTAAAGCTTTGTGCCAAACCTGCAGAGCGGTGGAGTCTTAACAATGCAGAAAGAAGTGGAACTATAATTTTTCATGCTTCAGAAGTGACTTGTAATCAGGATTTCCTCTTGAACATGGAATAGAAGACGTGAGTAGCTGTTGTGTGATGAGATGTATATTTCCCTGAGGGAGATGGTGGGTTTTGCATTGTAATTTGCTTGTTTCTCATTGACTCTTATAACTTTTGGGAGGAGGGAATTGTGACTTCACAAATTAAGTGAGAATACAGAAAGTGGTGATGCCAAGCACCCCCAGTTTCTATCCACTCTACTTCCACCTCCCTTGATGTAAAAAAGAAGAACGTATATTTTTTCTCCTGAAGTCTTTCCAGTATTCTCTCAGGCTTATTGTTCCTTCCTGAAAAGAGGAGTAGATGGGGACATTCCTTACAGCCAGGGGTGGATTCTACTCAGAGGTGGGTTTCAGCAGGTTCTAACCAGTTCTGGAGAACCGGTAGTGGAAATTTTGAGTAGTTCGGAGAACCGGTAGTAAAAATTCTGACTAGCCCTGCCCCCATCTATTCTCTGCCTCCCAAGTCCCAGCTGATCGGGAGGAAATGAGGATTTTGCAGTAACCTTCCCCTGGATTGGGGAGGGAATGGAGATTTTACAGTATCCTTCCTCTGCCACGCCCACCAAGCCACGCCATGCCCATCAAGCCACGCCCACAGAACCGGTAGTAAAAAATTTTGAAACCCACCACTTACTTTTACTACTGGTTCGCAACGGGAGTGTGCCCGCACTTTTGCGCATGCGCAGATTGTCAATTATGACATCCGGGCAGGTGGGCGGAGCGTCCCGCCGCTTTTACAACCGGTTCTAAAGAACCGGAAAGAACTGGGAGCAACCCACCACTGCTTACAGCTCTGACATTTATTTTTTTTTCTTTCCCTCTTCATTCTGTTTGTTTTTCTGGTAACTTATTTGTTTAATTACCTAGGTCCCAGATAATTATATCCTAGGCCCCAGGATATAATATGCTTTTCTTTTCAGAAGTTAAGCATATTGTCACAAATGTGCTTTGGAGCAACAAGCTGGCCAGTCTTGTCCATAGACCATTTCCATCATTTTCCTTTGATACTTTTGCTTGATGGTGCAGGCACAACATTGTAATATCAGCCCTTATTTAATCTAGGACAATGATGGCTAACTTTTTTGCCATCGCGTGCATGGGGGGAGTGCAGGATGGTCACGCACATGCGTGCCAACTCCCACACGTGACACCCCCCCATGCGCTGCCCGCTTTTGGCACGTGATGGCACGGTGGGCCCGGTAGGCCCATTTTTTGTCCTCCCCAGGCTCCAGAGCCTTTCTAGGACCCTAGGGAGGGCAAATACGGCCTTCCCCACCCTCCCGGATGCCCTCCGGAGGCCAGAAATGGCCCGTTTGCAAACTTCCGGTGGGCCCAGAAGGCCCGAAAATCAGCTGGTGGAGCTAAGCTTGCGTGCCCACTGATATGGCTCCACTTGCCACCTGTGGCACGTGTGCCATAGGTTCACCATCACGGATTTAGGAGAACGAAAAGAAATAAGGGAAGAATGTGTGTATATTGGAAAGACATATTCACCAGGTTGGTTTCTGAGCCAGGAATAAAGAACACAGTCAGTTGCTTGAATCAGAGGTGAAATTTATTCTGAGAGCTCGGTGCGCAAAAATCAAATGTTGGAGGTGGCAAAATTAAATCTCAATACAGGTAGTCCTTGACATATGACGACAATGGAGCTCAAAATTTCTGTTGTTAAGTAAGATATTTGTTAAGTGAGTTTTGCCCCCATTTTACCTTCCTTGTCACAGTTGTTAATACCATGGTTGTTAAGTGAATCTGACTACCCCATTGACTTGGCTTGTCAGAACACTGCAATAGGAGATCACATGACCTTGGGACACTGCAACGGTCATAAATATGAACCAGTTGCCAATCATCTGAATTTTGATCACATGAACATGGGGGCTGCTACGAAGGCTATAAGTGTGAAAAATGGTCGTAAGTCACAATTTTCAGTGCTGTTGTAACTTTGAACAGTCACGAAATGAACTGTTGTAAGTTGAGGACTACCTGTAGTCCCTTATACAAGAAAGTGTTCCTATGCAAAAGTGCACCTCTTAGGACAGTGATGGCAAACCTTTTCGGCACCAAGTGCTGAATAGGGAGCGTGCACATGCGTAACTGGGCTGCAACCCAGAAGAGGAGCTGCCCAGGGTGCATTCATGTGCCTGAAAATGAACTTCTGGTTTCAGCTACTGAACTTCTGGTTTCAGTCAGCTTCTTTTCCGGGTTTCTGCCGCGCATGTGTGTGTGATGATCAGCTGCCCTGCATGCATGCACCAGCTCTTCCAGTTTCCAGCACTGCCGCACACACAAAAGCCAGCTGATTGTCGTGTGCGCATGCGCACCAGAAACCCGGGAGAAGAATGGGCAACACCGCACGTGCCAGGCAACATGGCTCCGTGTGCCACTTTGGGAACACATGCCATAGGTTCACTATCACAGCCTTAGGAATTCTAAGACAACGTACTTAGCCAGATTCCAAGAAGAGACATCTTTGCAGTTAGATACCCTGCTGATTTTGAATCCAGAAGGAAGAAGGTGTGAAAGGGGGGGGGGCTGGTTTTCTTTCCACAGGCTGACCAAGTCTGAACACTGAGTCCACTTCTGTAACAAAGGAATTATCCATTTGCCCTCAAGCGCTTGCTAAATTAGGAGTGTGGATGGCTAGATTCACAGCTTTAAGCATGGAACTTTCTTGTTATTGCACAAAATGGAAGGCAGAATCCAATTTTGAAACAAAAGGACACAGGTGGGAGATAAGAGCACAAGGTCTCCTAGTTGCAGATTTTGATTTGTTTGCCAGCTTTTCCAGATGCTTGTCTTCTCAGCCAAGTTCTGAGACGAGAGTCACAACCTGCACAGATTGTGAGCTGAAGGCAGGCAAACCAGTAGGCCTTTCATATCTTTTTCTTTGTCTCTTCTCACGGTTCCTCTCCAGATGGCACATGTTTCTCTCAGTTGTTCCTCTTCACAGCAGTCGCTTCCCACCTAAGTTAATCTGTGTCAGTTTCTGAGGCAGAAACAGATCTACATCTCATTCTTGTTCAAAAACAAGAATGCATTCCATGCCAGCTTTGCATGAAAACTATTGTGCTCAGCTTTGAAAACAGATTTGTATAAGTTAGTTGTCTTTATATTCCAGTTGCTGGAAAAGGAAGTTTTAAAAATACCAACCAATCAATAAATATACACAGCATAGATACATGAATACATAAATATATAAAACAAGCTTCTTTTGGAGACTCTGAGACACTAACTGATGCAGGGGTGGGCTTCAAAAATTTTAGCAAGGTTCTCTGCCAGGTTGCTGGGTGGGCCTGGCCATGGTGGGTGTGGCCTAGTCGGCCTCCTGCACTACAGTGTGTGTGTGTGTGTTTTTGTCCTCCCCGGGCTCTGGAGGCTTTGCTTGAGCCTTTGGGGGGCGAAAACGACCTCTGGAGACCAGAAACAGGCCTGTTTCTGGTCTTCCCGAACTTCCGGTAGGCCCATTTTTCACCATCTCTGAGCCTCCGTGCACGCCCTTCACTTACCTCCATCCAAAACAGACTCCTGGGAGAGGAGGGTCAGGGTGGGCGGGGCCAGCCAGGAGTGGGATTTGGGGGTTCTCCAAACAGCACAGAGTCTTACCTAGAGGGTCTCCCAAACCCCTGCGAACCCCCGGAGCCCACCCCTGAACTGATGTCACAAGCTTAACCTCACAAACAGTGCCCCAATCCAGTTGTTTTATGAAATTTGGGTTGATGGCTGAATTAGAATTTGCAGGACAGATACAAAAGCAGACCTAAGATCAAATTAGGAAAGTTTTATTACAGGCAGAGTATTAACCTTACTAGGCAGACCAAACAGGAAGCACAACCAGATAAACAATTTCTATTTTATTGTAAAGCTACTTACAAAAAAAAAATAATCTTGCAAGTCTTCATTTTTCATTTTTCATTTTATTTGATTTATATACCGCCCTACACCCGAAGGACTGAAAATCTGAAAGTAAATTTTTCCTGCTGTCATTTTTGTAACTTGCACACTTAGGGCGGTCCCTTCCGAGCCTCTTGCTCCCTCCACTATGCAGCTGAGGGCTCATCTATCACTTATTGGATCATTCCCTTGGCAGCATCTCTTTACCCCATTTCCCATAGTCTTCTCCACACACCATTACCTAGACATTCAGGCAGCGGTGGATTGCCCCCCGTTTGGACCAGTTCTATAAAACCAGTAGTAAAACCAGCGGGAGGCTCTGCCCACTGACCCTGACGTCATGAGAAGTGATCTGCGCATGCGCAGAAGCAAGGTGCACACGCGAATGAAGTGAGCATGCACGCACAATCCCATTGCGAACTGTTCAGCCACCCCTGAATTCAGGCATTCAGCATCATCTGTTGGAGCCCTGTTATCTAGTTGATCAGCTGAGGTTGGAGAGTGGCATTAGGTATTAACCTAACATTTCAAACTTCTTTTTGTTTAGATGGGCTTGCTCCCTCCTCCTGCCATATTTCCTTTGCTGATCACTACAACTGCAGTATTCCTTACTACCTCCATCCACCTTCCCATAATATTGTTTAAAGAGATGGTTAATATCTATTGCACTCTCACCTGGAGGTTGTTTTGAACCACCACTCTGTAACCGTTATATACATCCTCATAAAACACCTTAACTAGTCTGACCTCCCTGAAAAACTCCAGAAATTTCCCCACTTTACCTCCTTTGGGGAGATTAAAAGCCATGTATCACATGAAGTACTTTTTTTCCCCCTAAGGCTGCCTCTGTTTACAACATTTAATTGATACCATCCATTGAAATTAATAGTACAGAGGCTCCAGATTAATAAGAGTCAGTAGGAAAGTTAATTTAGAAGGAAATGAAGAATGTCCTGAGATTTCCCATATAAAGAAAGTTGGAGAGATAATGCAATTTATATCCTATTCACGTCCCATTTCCTATCCACAAGACTCCAGGCAAATCACAGAATCATAAACCTCAAGCAATCCTTTAAAACCATGGTCAATTAAACCATTTATTAAAATTAGCTTAACATTCACATT